AACCGCCGTAAAACGTATTTAACTGCAGCACAACTTATTTAACCGCCGTACAACTTATTTAACTGCAGCACAACTTATTTAACCGCCGTACAACGTATTTAACTGCAGCACAACTTATTTAACCGCCGTACGGCTTATTTAACTGCAGCACAACTTATTTAACCGCCGTACAACGTATTTAACTGCAGCACAACTTATTTAACCGCCGTACGGCTTATTTAACTGCAGCACAACTTATTAAACCGCCGTACAACGTATTTAACTGCAGCACAACTTATTTAACCGCCGTACGGCTTATTTAACTGCAGCACAACTTATTTAACCGCCGTACAACGTATTTAACTGCAGCACAACTTATTTAACCGCCGTACGGCTTATTTAACTGCAGCACAACTTATTAAACCGCCGTACAACGTATTTAACTGCAGCACAACTTATTTAACCGCCGTACGGCTTATTTAACTGCAGCACAACTTATTTAACCGCCGTACAACGTATTTAACTGCAGCACAACTTATTTAACCGCCGTACGGCTTATTTAACCGTCGCTTCACTGGACGCTGGAAGATTGATGTTGTGAGAATTTTAAAATGATGTGATGATGTTATAACGATGCACTACACTTAGAGTACGTATTGGTACCACACTGAGCGCATTTGTACCACACTGAGAGTATTGGTACCACACTGAGCGCATTTGTACCACACTGAGAGTATTGGTACCACACTGAGAGTATTGGTACCACACTGAGAGTATTGGTACCACACTGAGAGTATTGGTACCGCACTAAGAGTATTGGTAACACACCAAGAGTATTGGTAACACACCAAGAGTATTGGTACCACACTAAGAGTGTTGGTACTAAGAGAAAGTCTACACGATGCTACACTAGGAGGTTATAATCCTCAGTAGCAACGCAGACCGAGGGAAGAGGTTGTGAAGTTCTACTCTGAACACTTCATCGAACGCCCTGAACCTCGCTCTCCCGAACATCGCCCCAAACCGTAACCTTTTTTTAACAAGAATGACAAGACACATCAAATTGTCACCTACTCTACACATACGACATTGATTATCATAAATAAAACAAGAGCCTGAAGCGGGCAGCGCGCGGCGACACGATCGTACCTGGACTGGCAGCTGCGAGCAGGTCGGAGAGGGAGAGACTCGTAACAGGATTAACGAACACGTGAGGGCTGCTCGCTGATTCCTCGGCCCTCAGCGAGCCGAGGTCTACTGACAATTGGCGCCGGGGTTCTTCTTCTCGGTCGTCGTCGTCGTCGTCGCGACCGCCATCGTAGCCTGTAAAGCTGATGGCGCACACGGAGGCCGGGCGCGCGGGCATCGACACATCGGGACGGGCGGTCGTCAGCGGGGAGGGAGTCGAAGGGCGAGCGAGAAGATAAGGTCTTGGATGGGAGGGAAGAGGAGATGAGTTCTTGCTTCCCATTCCTATGAGTCCAATGCCTCCTAACTTCTCCCACCTTCTACTCACATCGGGGACCTCTTCAAACTCGTGCCTGTCTTCGTCCTGATCTTGGGCGTCGAGGGAGGCGTTCAGGAGATATCTGGGCTGCCTGTGGCACTCAGCAGCAAGCACTTCACTCAGGCTCAAGCTAGAGGCGATGAGCTTGCGCTTCTCTTCGAAGTTGAGGTGATCCGAAGACGAGGAGCGAGCCATCTCGTGGACAGCCACATGTTTCCTGTCGTCAGCGCACTGACCTGAGGGCGGCTCCGCTGGCTGCAGAGTCTCATTATTATCTATTGTTGCTTTTGTACTATTCTTTTTGGCACTATTTTTGGTGAACCTGCCCATCTTGAGACCGAGCAGTCCGCTGCGTTTGGCGCGCTTTAGACGCACAGCTTTACTGCTGCTGTTACTACCTCCACCGGACGATTTGCTCACTCCTCCCACCAGTCCGTCTACACCGACGTTACTTGACGCCGTCATGCCACATCTCCGCTCCACCGCAGCCGCCATATCCACCACAAACCCGCCACCAATGTTGCCCCCGTACCGCCGCCCCATGGGGGAACATCCGTCGGGGGCGGTGAGGTACATTGGGTGCTCGTTGCCATCGCACCGCGGATGAGGGGCGCTTTGTTCCCGGATCCTAAGTATGGAGGTGCCCTCAATGAAGTCAATGCGAGGGCCGGAGCAGGCGTTGTTCCTCATGTAAATGCCCTCGCTTTCGAGAGTCCTGTTGAACTTCTCGATGTGGGAGTAGGCGGTCGCCTCGGCGCTGCATTTGCCGATGCCGCTGCACTTGCCGATGCTGTTGCATTTGACGTCGCTGCGAGGCGCCGCGTTGTGGGGGTAGTGCGTCTTGCTGCTCTTCAAGGAAGCTTCGCTCAGAGTGTGGAACTTTCGGCCGAAGTCGTAGACGGTGTACGGACGGCTCCGGGCAGGCAGGTAAAGGCTGTCGTCGACCACATCTCCATACTGCATGCCCCCCGACGGGGGCACGAGCCCCGACACCGGTCCCTCCGGCACGCGGACCTGCACATTCTGCCCCTCAGCCAGCACCCCACTGAGCGAGGAGCCGACGCTCCCTGCGGATACGCAGCCGTCAGGCTCACCTCGGAATTCGCTGCTCAGAGATGTGGGCTTTGGTTCAAAACCACTACTCAAAGATGTGGCGTTAGTGTCAAAGTCACTGCTTAGAGATGTGGCGTTCGTGTCAAAGCCCGCGTCACTTCTGGCGGTGGCGGCATCGGCCATCAAGTTCGACGGATGCGCTGAGGCGCAGTGGCCGACACTTGCTGTCTCGACCAGAAGTGTGGAAAGTTCAGGATAGAGGCCTGCTTGCTATATGTATAGGATACATTAACAGTGGCCAGCGATATTTGCGTCTCAATGCCCGGTTACTACAGATACCCTCAATACGCTAATGATGAAACAAAACGTCCGCAGCGTGGGAAATAATACGCAAGGATGCTTATACCGTCACGGTAACGAGCTTGTCTGGGATTTTGTCATAGAGGAAATCGCTCGATGCCATAGATGATATTATTGGTAGCTGATAAGCGTTTCTGTATGCACGAGTGTTTCCTTATAAAACTTTCAATGAGCGAAGTGTCGCTTCAACGACTTTATGAAGCTTCACGTACAACATTCCTCGTGTTGCATTCATGTTTCAGACACGAGCAGGTTGAGGATGGGCCACGAGCAGGTTGGGGTAGAGTTACGAGCAGGTTGTTTGAGCCACGAGCAGGTTGGGTTTGAGCCACGAGCAGGTTGTGTTTGAGCCACGAGCAGGTTGGCCCTATCAAGTATAAGGCTTCAAGTGACCATGTCACAACTCAGGAGCACGCAAGACAAGCTTTTCTAAGAGTCTCGTATTGCGCTCACGTCAACCTTATAGCACCTTACGTCAACCTCTTTGGGGTCAGATATACATTGCGTTCTCGGGGCAGATATATGACCTATAATGCGTTCTCTGTGGTTACACATTGAGGATAATCAGAAGTGAGTGGTTGCTAGCAATAATCGTGACTGTTTTTATGAAGCTAACAGGCAGGGGTAGCCAAGCACAGCAACCAGGGCACTGAACACTGCCACCACTGCACCATGACGGTGCAGTGACCGTGCATCGTGACGGTGCAGCGCCTTCCTTGCGCCGCTACACTGCTACGACAGCGCTACACGAGCGCCGTTGTAGCAGCGCTACACGAGCGCTGTTGTAGCAGCGCTACACGAGCGCTGTTGTAGCAGCGCTACACGAGCGCTGTTGTAGCAGCGCTACACGAGCGCTGTTGTAGCAGCGGGGCCAGGTGAGGCGTCAGCGCTGCGGCCATCCCAGCAGCCTGCGCCTGAGGCTAATAGCGTGGCATGCTTAGCACAACACAAATATAATCACACATCTGCATCACAATATAATGCACAAAACAACACAAGAACGTCCCGGGCTACACTGCAATGATAACACCTATAGCACTCAATGTAGCACGCACACACGAACGCACGCGACGCGCGCACAACCTCCCGCCACGAACTCTGGAGCAGCACTGAGCTTCCTCGTCACTGATGACTAGCGGCGAGGTGGTCGCCTGCACCTCGCAGGTGGCGGGTGAGGTGGTCGCCTGCACCTCGCAGGTGGCGGGTGAGGTGGTCGCCTGCACCTCGCAGGTGGCGGGTGAGGTGGTCGCCTGCACCTCGCAGGTGGCGGGTGAGGTGGTCGCCTGCACCTCGCAGGTGGAGCACATCACCAAATTCTGAATAGTTTCGACTGCTCTCTCATCAGCGACAATTAAACCTTTAGCTCATAAAACCGAAGAAACCCTGCGCCGTTGTTTAAACGTGTGTTCTATTTCCCTTCCAATATAGACGTTACTACCTCAGAAGTGTTGGCTGATACGTTTTCAGTGTCCGGTCTATTTAGTATTTATGTTTATATTAATATATTTATATTTAAGCTGTGATAAACTATAAAAAAAGCCTTCCTTATGTTAGCCGCCATTATAATAAATCCAAACTTATAGTGTGCCAAGCACACAAGCTCGTAAGGCCACAGTGTGGTATGAGAATCAGAAATATTTAGTTATTCATATATTTATTTTTTAGTAAATGCAACACAATACAGAAATATATAAATATTTAGTTATAAAATAAGCGTCGAAATCAGCGACTATTTCAATCACATGAGAAGACCATTCGCATGGCGTCAGGTGTGGGGTAGTCATTGCTAGAGCAACAAAACACTCATCAGATGCATGAAGAAATAGAATGTGCCTATTAGCTCTGTTCGTTCGTTGCTGCTGTACGTCTACTCCCACAAGATGTCTTGTTTCACCCTCTATGGAGGTTTTCCGAACTGTCTTCCGTCTAATAGCTACCCCGGAACTGCTCGCTCGCCACGCCAAACGGTACCGATCGTTCCATTTACTGGCTGGCCCAAGCGACCATTAAACCATCAGATCATAAAACCGAAGAAACCCTGCGCCGCTGTTAAACGTGTGTTCTATTTCCCTTCCAATATAGACGTTACCTCAGCCGTGTTGGCGGATATATTTTCAACGTCCTGTCTATTTAATATTTATGTTTCTATAGCTGTGATGATGTATCAAGATGCCTGACGGTTAACCTCCTACGTCGCTAACACCACTATACTATACACTGAACGTGAGCGAGCAATACGCCACTACCAGTTCCTCGGCTACTGGTCGCTTGCCGCGTCAATCATCTAAAGGTCCCTTATACACGGAGATAGTATTAGCTGCAAGTACTTCACACTTCAAATATTGAGCTGATTTTTCTTCAGATGCAAGTAGTTCAGTAGCTTCTTGAGATGCAGGTACGTCTGAAGCGATTGAGTTTGTTGATGTGGCGTGAAATAACACCAGTTGGGGTGAAGCCGTCGTAGTGTGTGCATCTGCGCCGCTGTTTGTTATGCTTGAAGCAAGAGCTTTTTATGTTATATGTTATTAACTATGGCTTGTCCCAACAAGGTTGGTTCTAAGAACGTCAAGAAATGTTCAGATGATATTCAGCTCTTCTGATAGATATTCCACAAGTACAATCTACTGCTCTCTACGTCACGATGAATATTCAAACAGAAAGTAATTGAGAGAGTAGTATTTTAAAAGTTAAATGAGACCTTATTAGGTCTTTTACCTGCATTCTACGCTGATCGATCAATTTTTTTCACCTACTCAGCTAGAGTTGTAACAACGCCACCAACTGCTTTACCAAACGCCTCCTCAAACTCGCCATTACCCTCATGTTGCATATTCCACCGCGCGCAGACCTCACTAACGACACACTGGCAGTTGTGGATGCGAAAATACATTTTAGCAAATACTTTCCTCGAGTATAAGCTTACAGCCGGTGAAACTGTGAGTGTGAAGTACTTGAAGCAAATACTCTCGCTAATACTATCCCCGTGTATAAGCAAGCACATTTTACATATGCTAGCAGGAACCTCCTACGTCACTAACACACTTATACCTTAGAATTACCCGTGTTTCATTCATATTTATCAACGGTAATTGCCATGTAAGCCATTTTGAAATAGTTTTAATTGCTACAGTGAGAAAAGTGCCCGTAGAGAACGGTGCATTCACAGCTTTGCATAACCCAATAAATCTGCTACAAGAGGCCATAAAGCAGACCAGAGGAGCAGACCAGTTCCTCACCTGCCTCGCTGGTCTCCTCCTCAGGGTCGCTGTAGTACGCCCACACCATCAGCTTCTCCAGGATGCTGCTGCCTGACGATAAGTCCTCCGAGGACCCGAAAAGGTTCTCCTCAACGCCGTCTTCCTCTACAGTTGGGGAGTAATAGAATCCGTCCTCTTCACACACTCGGCCACCACCTGCCCCTTTCTCGCCCCCTGTTCCCCCTGGTCTGGGGGGTTTGTGGGAACAACGTGTGGGGAGGGACCGAGTTTTCAGCTCATGCTCCTCCGACTGAGGATGGTGATCTACACGGGGAGGGTCAGGGATGGGGGGCATGGCGGGGGTGGGGTGGGCAACGCGCGGCGTCCACACAGGGGGCGCAGCGCCCTGCTCGCTCAGACTCGTGGGGCAGGAGAGGCTGCCTGGGCCCCCAAGTGGGGAACGAGGGTGGGTGGTGCGCAGGATGGGGAGGTCATCAGGGCCAGCCATGGAAGGCGGGAGGCCAGCAGCCCCCACGCGAGGGTTGGGGGGCGGCCTGTACTGCTGCGAGGGCTGGAAGGGAGGGTAGCGCGAGATGTGTTGGGGCGCCACCGTGTAGTAGACCGGCGAGTCCAGACCAGGAGGGGCTGAGTAGTCCAGACCGTGCGACGCAGAATATTGCTGCTGAAGTTCTTGCTGTCCTTGCAACTGCTGCTGCTGCTGCTGGTGTTGTAGCTGCTGTTGTTGCAGTTGCTGTTGTTGCAACTGCTGCTGTTGCAATTGCTGTTGTTGCAACTGCTGCTGTTGCAATTGCTGTTGTTGCAATTGCTGTTGTTGCAATTGCTGTTGTTGCAATTGCTGTTGTTGCAATTGCTGCTGTTGGAGCTGCTGTTGTAGCTGGAGTTGCTGCTGGTGCACAATGTGCATGTGTTGCGGCTGATGCAGTGGAATGACATGCTGCTGGTGAAGCAGTGAGGTGACATGCTGCTGCTGTTGTTGGTGCAGCGAGCTGACATGCTGCTGCTGGTGAAGCAGTGAGGCGGCATGCTGCTGCTGGTGCAATGGAGTGACATGCTGCTGCAGGGGTATGTTGTTGTGCTGGTGTGCAGCCCTAGGAGGCCTGGGGTGAGTGTAGGGTGTGGGCGCCGGCAAAGGTGGGCGAGGCGGCTGGTATAAGCCATGATCATCCGGCGCGTCGCTCGGCAGCATTCGTAAGACAGGAGCCGGCCACGTCTACGTTAATGGATCATCCGTGTCGGACAACTGCACGTGGAGGACTCGGCATGGGATTGTGAACAGCTTCATTCACGTGCACGCCTTGACATTGGATTGTGAGGAGTTTCATTCATGTGCGCGCTTCGGACTGTAATAGTGAGGACATTCACGCACATATGAGCCACGGTATGTGTCTCTTATGACCTGCATGCCCATGCAAACCGAGGCATGAGGCTGTGAGGAGCTTCAGTGACAGGAGGCATGGCAGTCAATGCAGACCGTCACAAGTTGAGTGGGTCGTGTCCAGTGAGGGTGGCGTAGCGGCAGTCACTTGTAAGCGATGTGCCGTCTAATCCACAGGCGCAAAAGTGTCATGCTATAGTAAGTTAATAATTTGCTTCCTAAGAAAATATCACAAGCGTTTCGATGAGCTTGCCTGCCTATGGATGTTCACCAGGATGCAGAATCACTATGCACTATATGCCAAGATCCCGCGCTATCACAAGCTTATGTTGACACATCTCATGGTCTTGCAATGGTGAAATCGACGCTGCCCTCAGAACGCGATAGTGAAATGAAAACATCCTCACTAATGAGCATTAAACACACCATTCAACTGGCACCACACACTGTACTCAGACACACCACACACTGCACTAAGACACACCACACACTGCACTCAGACACACCACACACTGCACTCAGACACACCACACACTGCACTCAGACACACCACACACTGCACTCAGACACACCACACACTGCACTCAGACACCACACACTGCACTCAGAGTCTCAAACACACCACACACTGCACTCAGGAGGCCTGATCTCCTAGGGCTGGTCTCAGACACACCACTTACTGCAGTCATTATCTATACTGACAGGTTCGCCCAGTGCGAGGTGCATCAAACACTTGGCCCTACACGCGGCAGCTAAAAGCAGGTGAGGGCCCGCGGCACCTGATGGCAGTATAGGGCCACGCGTTAGCTGAAGGCAGAGGAGGGCCACGTGGCAGCTGAAGGCTGGAGAGGGCCACGCGGCACCTGAAGGCAGAGGAGGGCCACGTGGCACCTGAAGGCAGAGGAGGGCCACGTGGCACCTGAAGGCAAGGGAGGGCCACGCGGCACCTGAAGGCAGAGGAGGGCCACGTGGCACCTGAAGGCAAAGGAGAGCACGTGGCTGCTGAAGGCAAGGAAGGCCACGCGGCAGAGGAGAGGGCCACACGAAAGCTGAAGGCAAGGGAGGTCCCCGCAGCAGCTGAAGGCAGGGGAGGGCCACGCGGCAGCAGCGGCACAAGCACAGCTGAGCGATCAATACGGGAGCCGGGATACTGTCTTATCCGCCCCCTGCCAGCACATGCCAGCACTCTGACTCAAACTGCCAGCAGGCTGCTTGCAAACTGCCAGCACGCTGCTTGCAAACTGCCAGCACCTTGCATGCGGGCGGCCAAACCTTGCCTGCAAGTGGCCAGGAAGCTAACAGCACACCGGCAGACAACAGATAGGAGCTCTGCTGGTGCGACATGACAGAGTCTATGGCAGAGTACTGCTGCCAGCTATGGTCCCAGCTAATTAGTGTGCGCTATGCAGCAATTGGTAGTAGTCATGGGGCTGTACTGGGCCGTACTATGGCTGTACTGGGGCCGTACTTTGGCTGTACTGTCGCCGAACAGAGGCGGTAGTAGGGCCATACTGGAATTGTATTCAATGGAGAGAGAAGGCAGGTAAATCATTCGGGACACGTGCAGGATGATGGCCAGATCGAACCCAGAAATTAGAAACGAGACTTTGAGGAAGGGATCCTCAGTGGGAGGATAGGAGTCCTCCTCTCCCCAGGGGTACAGTCACTGTGGAAAGGATCCTTATGAAGGAAGGATCCATATCATACAACTCACGACATCACACAACTCACGACATCACACAACACACGGCAGCACACAACACACGGCAGCACACAACACACGGCAGCACACAACACACGGCAGCACACAACACACGGCAGCACACAACACACGGCAGCAC